ATATTAGACTACTTACATGAACATCTTGAAATGTAAGTCTACAACAAAAACTACTGAAACGTGGGTGTTACATTTCAACTGTAGGTACCTCTATACCTCGGCCTCTGCGTTCACCTTTGAGAATTTAAAAACGCGAAAATATGTTGTTTTTAATCAAGAAATGGGACACAAAGGACATTGTGCCTCAAGGGCATTATTTCGTGGACTTTACATAAGGCAATTTGGCTAGACTTTCAGAATATTTTTATATCTTATTCTTATATTAGACAATTAGAGACTGAGAACAAGTAGGTATCATACATCAAGGGCTCGGTTCATACTTGTAGTCACAGTTCTTCGTGTGTAGTAAAATAAAAGTTGTTTTAATATTTTGTTTGTAGAACACAAATCCCATTCTAACGCACGTAGCATACAATAAAATACAATTTGCTTTCTCCGTTCCTTCTCCGTATAAACTGTAAAACTGTGTCAAACATACTTTTCTGCTAACAAAACATGTTTGAAAGTGTTATGAATGGCGCCATTATTGTGCTACCACCGTGTCTAACACGAACTTGTTTGTGTGTGTTCGACAACAGTCCCTATACAAAACTCCCTATATCAGACTTCTACCTACATTCTAAGTTACCAATCTCAGAGTAGACGAGTGTCGACCTCTGGCGATATACAAGAGGTTCTCAACAAAGTCGTTCTCATCAGTGTACTGGTTGGGAGGCAGTGCAAAGAAAACTGCGTCTAACTCTCGCTCGCTATAAGTTACGAGAAAAGTCCGTAAGATGGCGGTGTTACCTTTTATTGGAATACGATGCTTCAGGCTCATATTATGCTTAGATTATGAAGTGAAGTCAATGTTAAATCGACTTTTGATACTATATTAGTACAGTGTATCATCCTATCTCATGTGATACAATGATTATCACCTTGAATCTAATTTGTCTTTACACATGAGACACGACTATGCTCTTGTCATATTGATAGAATGGTGGCTGAATTATTATTATCTTTATGAGAATGTTTTATTAAATTTTAGCAGGAACATTTAAATCTCGGAAACGATAGTGAAATAAACAGTGTACGTACGACGTACGTGGTCCGCAACGCATTTGTAATTTTGTGAGGTCCAGTCTAGTGTTACAAGTTTATCAAAGTTACGGCAACCGTTCGCAATCATGCAAGCTGTCAGAGCCAAAGTCAAAATATTTTTTTTTACTTAATAGTTCGACGTTCGGCCACCAACTCGTCTGGTGGTAAGCGATGATGTGGACGATGATCTGTTCACTCGGGACTTGAAAACTCCCAAGTTATATTTGTCGGGAAACACAGATACAGATACAGATACATATATTTCAATTACACCAGGAAAGCACTTTTGAACGTCAACAACAAATAAAGTGAAGCTAACTATTTGCTCATTCCAATGTGTAGAGGTAGATTCCAAAAGAGAAGAACGAGCAAGAAACTCCGTAGGTTACACTTTTTCAATCAGGTTCACAATACAATTTTCTAGTTACATAGTTTTGTTGGTTCAACTGCGTGAGAACAATATAACACAAAAATCAGTCAAAGAGATCGAAAAAAAATAACCTTAAAGCTGTACCTAGCTGAAAAGTTAACCATTAAAATAATAATTTATTAGTAGTAGACAAACTCATAAAAATTGTACAATCTCAGGAAAGTAAGTAAATAGAAGGTTTCATAAATGAATCCCCATGTTTCAAAACATTGAAAATTAATTTAGTAAAGTGAATTTGCAGATTACATTGCGTAATTAGTTGCTCCTCGAGGACATCCATAATTGGGCCAGCGACGAATTGACAATTTATTCATTGAATTTTTATAGGCGCACAATTTATGGAATGTATAATATATTAATTAGGTATCTCAATATTGAGCTACGTGTATACTTTTATAGTTCATTTGATATAATACTGCCACATTGTTATCGTGTTTTCAATTTCATAATTTAACAAAGACGAAATAAAACAAATTATAGAGTTATACTACAGTTACATCATTTTTTTAAGGAACAGCAGACCAACGAGCAGACGGATCACCTGATGGTAAGCGATCAGCGCCGCCCATGGACACCGGCAACACCAATTCGCTCTTTTCTCGAAGGTTTGAAGGTTTATTTATTTCTATCTTAATCGAGTTCTACTCGTGTTTTTGGACAGTTGGTTTTTTTAAATGTATAAATAGAAGGTTTAGTGTTACATTAAGTGAACAAATTGTAATGTATGTATTTTTAATGAGAAGGTATAGTACGGGCGATCAGAACTCGTAGCATAAATCTACCAGAGCAGGTGTCACCGACAGACGTGTTACTTCTAAACGATATGTCGGCCGCGTCATAATGGGTTCTGTGGCCAGCCGAGCCATTGGTGACAAACGCGCGTGAATGATATGTGGCCATTGTGGAACAGTTGGTATTGTGGGCTGTACGCGATTAGCTGCTCAATGTTCACTGACCATGATACCTATATACAAGGTACTTAATTCTTATTAAACTAATACATCATACAAGCACTCTGTCGATATCTGCTTGCCATTACAATTAAGATGGCGGCGAACTTTCCCGATAGCTCGCACAAATCATGGTAATTGCTTCGATTACGATAACTTCTCGAAATGGATCCTCTCGTACATGCCGCCGCTATACTCGTCAGTACCTTGCTACCCAGATACTTGGTTGGAGGACGATCTGATAACTATTTGCAAATATCCACGTAAGTTGGGTATCGCTTGATATACCGGGGAAGTTTGATAGTTTTCGAGCAAGTCCGAAAGCGATCGAGGACGCTCAAAAGTGAAGAAGGACCCCTTAAACTGATTGGGGACTCTTGATAGCTTTCAAGCAGGACCGACAGAGATCGAGTACGTCTGATAGTTTTTGAGTAAACCCGTAAGTGATTGAAGCAATTCGATAGATTTTGAGCACAGTGAAAAGTTTTCGAGTAAGTCGATGTAGAGAATCGATATATCAATATAAGTATATTGATTTCGTGAAGTTATATGTTCACTTTTGTTGATACCGCTAGCACAGGCTCAGCAGGGGCTGCAGGACGTGACCTCTGTGCCAAGTGTACCAACACAGCGCGGGCCCACATCGAGTTACTATGAGCAGTCGTGCGCGCACACATAGCTGGCTGCTACTATCTGAATCAAACCTGTCTCTTACACTCATATTTTTCGTTACTTAGGTCTTGGAAGCTCAGTAGGAATCATATTGGCAACTTGAATGTTGTAACCATTGAACCAACAAATTATTATATCAGAATAATTCTTTACTCCTTTGGTATTGATTAAGTATAATGATTTAGAAATACCACGGCTCCGTGGCATGATGTAGGCTAGAGTGGAAAAAGAGTACTGAAACAAAAAAATTTAACGCTTTCAGGAATGTTACAAGATTTTGGAAGTATTACAAGGGCATTTTATGCTATCACCTCAGTCTCAGCAGCCAAAAGCCAAAAATCAGTCCGAGCTAGAAGTATATGGAGCACACGTGCCATTAACCATGTTATTAATAGAACAGAATGCGTTATTCAATATATTAGCTGGTGATCGGGACGTGCGCCATTTAACGTGATTTACTAAAAGTTGCTTCAATTAGCCATAGGGATCGTGTACGTAGAACAATATTTTGTTAAGGATTTTTTAAAAACTAAAGCCTTCTCGAGGATGTGGGGCGCATGAGGCAGCGAAGCGCTGCCTCCTAATAATCCACCTGTCGCGATTCGCTCCGGCTCGGAGAGTGCAGGAGTAGAAACGGGGTAATTATTAGTCAGTAAGAGCCTAACACTCCCTCCCGCCTCACCTAGGCACTGTTATACTGTGCCTAGGCGGGAGAAATCATTCGATGATTTCCCCCCCCCCCCAAAAAAAACTGGCTACATACTACATACTTAGCTTCACTGCGTTAACTAAGAACCATTCTAAGTCCTCCATTAGACACGTAGCTCATAACGTTGCGTCGAATGTTTACAGATATGACACTACCAGGTTGTTCATACCACGTTTAGGTTTACTGCTTCCAATATGAGAAGCAAAATTGTTAGTAAGCAACTCTGTGCTGCTGTATATTTGTCCTTAGTAAGCGACGTCTCTATGAACAGATATTCTTTTGAAGTTTAAATGTGAAGCAAGCAAGGTATAGACACAAAGTTGACAATATTTCGTAGTCACAAAGGGTCAACATTCTGAGGTTTCATTACTCTATGTGTTGGCAACTAGCAATATTGCACATTACTGCGAATCTGCGAATGGAAAGTACAGATATTTTAAGCAATGCTTTTTTCTATGTCTATTTTTATGTCATTAACTAGCTGTTGCCCGCGACTTTGTCCGCGTATAATACGGAAATAACTCTTTTTTGTTTTTATTTTCTAAAATAAAAGTGGTTTATATCACTCCATGCTACATCTGCAGCTACCTGCCAATAAAAGTCCTATCAAAATCGGTCCAGTCTTTCCAGAGATTAGCCAGTACAAACAGACACACATACAGACAGACAGAAATTGTAAAAAAAATGTAGGTAGTATGGCTATCGTATGTTTATTCATATGCATGAAGTAAAAACCGATTATTTTAATTAATTGGCACGAATGGGCCGGCTTGACCGGAGTAATACCACGGCCTCACAGAAAACCGACGTGAAGCAACGCTTGCGTTTTGTTTCGTCGTGTGAGTGAGGTTACTGGAGGCCCTATTACCCTCCCCTTCCCCAATCTCCCCAATTCCTGAATCCCCAACGATCTTCAAACTCCTAATCCCCAAAAAGCCGGTAACGCACTTTGTAACGCCCCTGGTGTTCCAGGTGTCCATGGGCGATGCCGATTGCTTACCATCAGGTGATCCGTCTGCTCGTTTACGTTTACGGCATATACCATAAAAAAATCACTTATTTATTCCTTAGCTTCTAATATTTTTGGAGTTTTTGTTCACGTGATTTGATGATATTTAAAAAAAACAGGGCAGGTTCAATAAGACAACATTTCATTACAAATAAATGTATTTAACGAACCTTAATTAAGTAGTAAATATTTACAAATAAATTATTACACAGATAGAAGGCACTGGTCGCGTGGTTTACAGAATCCTCTTTGGTTTCCGTTACATTCTATTTTATTAACATTTACCGCTATTTTACAGCGTTCATTTATAAATATGTAGATAGTTATTCTTAGAGTTATTTATTTTACTGAACAATATTGTATCACACATACAGAAAACATCGTCAGAGGTGACATAATAATTATATTTCTTTCATGAAAATTATCTTAACAAACCACTCGACTCGGTGGCTAGGTGTTCTATGGTCAATAACTCGAGACCAGGCATGTACTTGCAAGCAAACGTCCCGATGACTTGACATGAATTATGGGAAGCGAGTTATTCAGGTAATTTCTCAATAATTTCTAATTAAACTAGTGTACTCATAAAATATGACAAACTGTTGTATAATTGGATTTGTCAAAAGGGAATGTGACAAACTTGAGGCAGTTCCGAACACAATTTGTCATAATTTGAAGAGGGCACGTGAGCCCGCGAGTTCCAGAATTAAGTTTTAATTAGGTACGATACGCCACTGGAAACTTTTATAATATTGAGCAAATATTTTCACTAACATTAATGATGTTGATAAAAACGTTTTTATTTTTCGAAACATATAAATAATGACGTTATTTGCGCGTGAAAATTTTATAAAAAAATATTGTATAATCAATTACGCTGCATCATTTGACGACCTGTAAGTCACCATAAGCTTAAGTAGGTACTTAATCAGCGACCTTTATGTAGACATGTATCACAGTCGAAGTATGTAACATATTGTTGTGTCCTGTGTGTAGTGCCGAGCTGTGCCACACGGTCTCTAGCACACATCACAAACGTTGTTTCTCTACTAAATATGACTAGCAGTCCACTCCTCGCATCCTCAGAACTTGTGCTCGCCCATATTCTTGGACTTCTCGTCAGCGTTCTTTTCATCTGATTTCTTTACTCCATCTTCTGTAAAACAATTAATAATGATTTATTTAACATTACGATGATTCACATTCCATATTTAATGTGTATGATGGTGATACAATCATGTTGAACTTGATAAATAAGTAATTAAAGATTACTTACCGAGAGCTTTAGGTTTGGGCTCATTCCACGGCTGTATGTCAGCTGAGATGAACAGCAAGTAGAACAAGTTGGCCAGGAAGTAAAATGCTACCGATATGAAAAACACTTTCCGCCAGTCAGCTGCACTGGTCTGCAATAAAAACAATAATTAAAGAGCATAAAAATATCTAACTAAAGTTGGCAAAGAAAATAATTGAGATGTACTAGGGTCTAACCTCGTCTTCAACAACGAAGGAGACGCTGAGAGGAGCCAAGATCGAGAAGATCGCTCCGATACCGTTGGTGAAGCCCATCATAGTACTCGCGTGGTTGGGAGACAAGTCAATGTGGGATAACTGAAATCAAAATAATAATTATTGTAACCTCGTACATCACCATTTTACCAATTCATAAGGATTTTACAATATTACTCCTGAAATGTACCTACCATGAATCCGACGTAGTGGGCGCCGTTGAGACCACAGGTAACGGTGAGGATGATGACAGCAAGCGACAGGTTTCCGGCCGGCAGGTACGATAGACCCAGCAGCGCCACTGCAGGACCCCATTGAGCTGGAATAATGCAATTACATAGTTATATACCAGAGAACTTTTAATGTTAGGCTCTTTATACAAGAGATAAGTTTATTGCCCGAATCGGACTCAAAACTCGTACCCATTCAGTTATCACGTAAAACAGGTTAGTTACCGATAGTGTTGAATATTCTGCGAGAGGTGACTAGTTTGATGATCTTTCTGTTCACCAGGAAGTCTGCCAGCCAGCTGAAGAAGAAGCTGAGGATATACATAGCGACGTACGGCAGAGCTGATAACTGTCCGTTCTAGAATCAAATGTAGGCGGTGAATGAGAGTGGACTACTAAAATTGTCAAAAAAAGCATTGCTATATTATACTAAAACTATTTATATCTAGTATAATGGAATACGATGGCGTACGCGTACCTCTTTAATGTCCACATTTAGAACATTCTTCATATATGATGGTAATTCGGTGAGGAGCGTCCAGAATCCTAAGTTCTGACCACAGTGAGCCAGCAAGATCGCCCAGAATGGAAGACAGGTCAGGATACCTTTCCAAGGCGTTGGAATTTTCTGTGAACAATAATATTATAACACAAGTGACTTTTAGAGTAGAAGACGAGAGAGAAACGAGGATTTATTTAGAAACATTATTTACCTCATGTCCAATGTCGTTGGAGCCTGCATTGTACTCGATATAGTTCCTCTCTTCTTTGGAGATCCAGCGGCTGGAGCCGGGCGTGGAGTCGCCGAGTATGATCCACAGCACGGACCACACGATGCAGCAGATGCCCGCCACGTAGAACACGGACGGCCAGCCCCACGGACTGGCGGCCAGCACGCCTGATGTCAGCAACTCCACGATTGTACCCAGCTGTGCACCTGGTGAAAGTTGTTCTCAGTTTCAGTGTACCACAGTGATTTCTATGCTGAATAAATACGCTTTGACTTTGTTAAAGTAGGTAATCTCTTAACTAATTGTGGTTAGTAAATCTACTAATGTATTCAAAGCACAATCTCTAACACTGACGTTGAAATTGCAAACGATTTTTCAAAGGAAGTGAAACAAATTGATTTGTGCGAGACTGTCGGCGTTACCCCGAGGAATGAAATTGCTGTTGTTTACAAATTCAGTTACTGAATAACTGCTGGCCGGTAGCGAGCTCTTCCGAAATCTACGTACATTAGATTGCGATAATTACCGGAAATTATTGCTTTAAGTTCGCCTTATGTGCAATTTGAAATCGAATTGTGTACATAAAATACTAAATAAATAAATATATCAAATTATTAATTAAATTTGAACAATGGATGTTACTTACAAATCCCTATAATAATTATAATTATTAGAATGTTTATCTGTGAACGTTACAATGCGCTGAAAAGACGAGACTTGAAGTTATTGGTAAACCTAACCTCTCTTCGGGAAGATTTATACTCTCGAATTATGAATAAGAGTTAATATTTCAGGTTATGCAAATTGTTATGTTTAGCAATGTAGGTATTCAGTTAATAAAATATCTTTACCAGCATATACGAAGGTGCCGAGTCGGCTGCGCTCGGTGACGGGCACCCAGTGTCCGAGCACGCCGTGCAGGCTGGGGTACAGCAGCCCCTGCACCAGACCCATCACGATGCGGCATGCGCACACCGCCATGTAGTCACCCTGTAACACAAACCAATGTAAGTTATAGATCTTACAGATTTGTTGAAATTTTTTGCAAGGAAAGAAAACTTATGACTCCTCTGGCGTTGTGGATGTCCAGACCCTGATCGCTACCACTAAGTGATCTGTCCACTTGTTTCACACTCTAAGTCTACATTTATTTAGTGACACTTGGCAACGATCTAAAGGTTTTCGTGTCTTACTTTAAGCATTTCTTTAGGAAATATCTTTAATAATATATTAATTTGTAATACAGTGTCTTGTGCTATCACTAACATAGACAAATAGCTCGGTAGTCCTGTTGCTCAGTAGATGAGGGCCTTGCAAGGCAGTCGCTCATGATGCAAGGGATGGGGTCGTGCCCCTCGGCGCGCCTCTAATGGCCACCATCAATATAAAGCACGAACAGGCGCGTAAGTTAATTGAGGGATTTATTGTCAGGTTTTTGTTGTTTCCTTTATTTTCGTCAGTGAATATATTTTCTTGATTTACTTCTTTTAAAATTTTTTAAGCTTTAATATTTTAATAAAATCTTATAATTTGTGTCATTTTCTGCACACATACATCAACAGCCTATGAATGCCCACTACTGAGCAAAGCATCTTCTAACACGGAGAAGGTTTAAGCATTAATCACCACGCTTGCTCAGTACGGGTGGACGTTTTGACGATTGGTACTTGCCGTTGGTAGGCTTCGAACCCGCTCCCTCATGCATGAGAAGCGGGCGTCTTAACCTTCGAGCCACCACGACACTTGAATTTGGCCAATTAAACGCCATTTAAAATTAATGACACTAAATATTTGGTACTCTAACTACAGAAAAACGAGAAGTCATTAGATGATTTTCCCACTCAAAAAAAGGACTCAATAGTACACTTCATGGAATGTCTCTCATGATGTCAGTACATCAACAACGTCAATTGTAGCCTTGTGTCTAGAACCTTTGCTTAGACAGGCCCTTGATGAGCCTTGGTCGTGGTGCTTATACATAATGACGTGAAATGATATACATATTTCCTAAAATTATTGAATGAAGAAAAGTTGATGAATTCATAAACTGAATACCACAAATAGTCACGTGAGTTGGTATCAAGTCTCAGAGAGTGTGCTTTTTATTGAGTAGATGTTTACGAATCGTTTCCGTGTACGAGCCACAATCACAGCGCGCGGCCTTACACAGTGTAAACACGGCCGACACTGATTCCACTGCTTTTTACAATCAACATGGATGTGTGCTCGGATATTGGACGAAATTAATGCATACGTATTGTTTGTTTGGCTTTTAATTAATCATCATCAGACATTCCCGTGTTTCATCTGTTTATACATTGCGTTATTCTGCTTATCTTGTCGTGTATTCGTACAACTGTTTATCCACACGTTCAGAATCTTCTTTTAACCTAATTATATTCACAACAAGGACTAATGTAACAGAAACACCGCTTTACAAGGTACCACTTTACAAATTAAATCCTTCGAATTTAATATATTCGTTACACACATGCTTGTTCGGTAAAGTAACCAATTCCTACATCCCACCAATTTGACAGGTGGCCTTATGTCGGTACAGCGAACAAATGATGGAAATTCAATAAAATGTCAGAAGTTAATAGAGTCAAGTGTCACAGTGAGACATAAGGAGTGCTCGCACAGCTGGCTCGCAGCCAAACGTTCCTCGCAGCGTTTTCACCCCCAACACCCTGGAGCTTCATTATAATTCCCAATTTATTCTTTAAAGACAGTCGTTTATCGTAACAATGAACTGTTCCAATATAAGCCCGTTAATTATTATGTTTTTATAAAGAACACAAATAGTTTCCGTAACCTCCCGTCTGATGTAATAGATAAAGTTTTATATACACAGAGTTTAGTAGTAACTATAATATAGAAGAGAGTAGTAGGTTACCTTGACAGCGGCAATGGGTAGCAGCAAGTTAACGACGCCTGTGGTTGCCATGGAGATGAGCATGAGGTACTTGCCCCCGAAGCGGCCGGCGATGTACCCCGCCGGGATCTGCAGCACGATGTAGCCCCAGAAGAATGAGGACAGGATCGTATCCTGTATGCTCCGCGTCCAGTGGGTGAACACCTAAACACACATACCATACACGTTCAGTTGGGTCTTGGAAAGGTTATTATTGAGGATAGCTTATTGCCATACACTGGATACAGTTGCATGTTGATAAGTATTTTCGAAGCCAAATAACACTTAGCAGCAGTTGCGCTTTAGATAAATTTAAAACTACGCCAATTCGTAATTAAATTATAAATGTATACTTTATACTAGTACAGGTAGGAGGCCACCGTCAGCACTGCTCCACTTATCATACAAAGGGTAGTAAAGTTTGAATGATGGCTGCTATTGACGCGTATTATTGTAATATTATGCGATGGAAGCAGCAATAACATCGATTTATGTCCAACACACGGCCGTCACAGCCAGCCGCCGCCACTATGTACGCTGGAGGTGAAAAAGAGCTTTTTGGAGACGTGATTTCAACACCAAACCATTTAACAGATTTCTATTGCTATGAATTTCACATCCTTACCATTTTAGAAATAAATTAGTTTCGCAAACTGCCTCGGTAAGTGATTTAAAACAAACAATTAAACTATTAAGTTGAAGACACACTGGGTTCCAGCGACAAGTTGCACGTGTGTCGTTAGTCGGGACGTGCCCGGAACGACGCCGCTCGCTTCGAATGATACTTTTTGCGACAATACCACTAAAGTCTGCGGGATTTTTTCCTGTTTAATGATATCCTAGTACAGGGCTGCCACTCGTGGCGACTTTAGTTACTCTGAAGGCCACGATTATTTTGATCTTGGTACATACAAGTAAATATTAATTACCAACAGATTGAGAAGTGTAAAAATTGTTCAAAAAAAAACTTTGAAATCCATAAAATACCTTTACGATAAGCACCGTACTATTACTGCTAGGGAAGACTAACATGCATTTGAAATTCCATTATTTGAATTCTTTCAGAGATCACCACAAAAAAATATTCACCTGGCGTCCCCGAGCTTTTAACTGTTCGTTGAAAATAAAGAGTTGTAAAAAAGTCGTTGCTACCTAGACGATATTAAAGCTGACTATTCGTGAGATAATTCCCTCGAGAGTTGCGTCTCACGGCGTGCAGATGGCGCTAATAGTCGAGTTTGAATTGTCTGCTGACTTCCTAGTACTTTGTGAAGAAGCTGTAAGTTTTTATTTCTGGATAAACTCCAAGTAGAGTCGTTATCGTGACAATTTAGCTGGATGATGTTTGTAGACAACAGAGCAGGTTAGTGTCTCACTTTATTGTGAACAAAAATAGAATTTCCGTTTTCTTAAGGAAGCATATTTTTCGTACATTATTTTTTTATTTTGTGCATTATTTCTTGAATCTCATCATAAACTCTATGCATCAGTTACACGGAACTCGTAACTGATATAACTGGCAAAAGATGAATGATACACAGTTAAAACGTGTCATTGTCCTCCACTTCGGAGCGTAAGCAGTTACGTACTAAATAGTGTAACCTGATTATCTCTGACTTACCGGATGACCATAGCTGTTGTTGGAAGTCATAGCGACGATGCCGACGCTCATGGAGACTCGCGTGGCGTAGGAGACGGTGGTCCCGAGGAACATGAGACACGCCATCACGTGCCGCATGCCCAGCAGCCGACCTGGGCACACATCAATTGACTTAGTATACTGCTACTGCTGCGGACTTCAGCACTCCTGTGTTTTCATGCTTGTATGAGCAGTTTTAGAAGGCCATGTCATGTCAAAGTCAAAATCATTTATTTCAATTAGACCAGAAAGGCACTTTTGAACGTCAACAAAAAATTAAATTAAATTGCTAGGTGTAGATTCCTATGGAGAAGAACGAGCAAGAAACTCCATAGGTTACTCTTTTTCAATCATGTTCATAATACAATTCTCTAGTAACATAGTTTTGTTGTTTGGATTGTGCGAGACCAATGTAGTGTAGGTACGTCGAACTACTCAGTTGGAGATGAAGTAACGTGTATCTTGAAATAGATCTTAGGGACTGATCACGGTTTTGCATTCGTCACGTAGGATTTTCAGTGTGTTGCAACTTGCAACTTAGAATATATGGGTGGGACGGAAATTGTTCTTTCGGATTGGAATGGGAACTGTTTGTAAATGTACATGTTTGATATAATATAAAGTGCTTTTTTGTTTATTTATTTTTATGGATTAAGCCAACTGGCTTCGTTAACTAACGAGCAGACGGATCACTTAATGGTATGCCATCAGCGCTGTCCATGGACACCTAAAACACCGAGGGGTTACAAGTGCGTTACCGGCCTTTTGGGGATTAAGAATTTGAGGATTGTTGTCGATTCTGGAATTGGGGAGATTGGGGTATTGTGGGCCTCCAGTAACCTCACTGACACGACGAAACACACCGCAAGCATTGTTTCACGTCGGTTTTCTGCTCGGCCGTGGTATCACTCCGGTCGAGCCGGCCCATTCGTGCCGAAGCATGGCTCTCCCACAGTTACCAACAAGTGGTAACATTCTTGCCAAACACTCATCCTACAATACTCTACACATTGGATTAATTCTATTGTAATTTCAAGTAAGTGTTGAGAGCGGTGACATCTCTCTCGGTTGTATTAATAAAGTGCACCCATCGTCACGTCACCAGCGCCGCCATTACATAAATAAAAACACCTGCCGCCTGCAATACACGTTATTCATATCATTGCACGTTGAATGCAATGAGCTTTACTGTATTGTCTGGACGTGATGATTGGACATATTATATTACTTTAGTTTTTTGGTTATCAGGATAATACATTCCATTCAGAATCCTATTCGACTAATCTACTCATAGTTGCTATTTTAGCCTAGTGTCAGGATATACACGAGTAGGTGTATGTACCATGCATTATGTTCATGTGCATGTATCTGTTTTATTTTATGCTTCATAGCTCGCTGGCTTAACATTCCGCTATTGTGTCGCGATGCAGACTTGGTAATGTACAGCGAAAAATTTAAAGTTTTGTATAAGATGTATAAGCGCGCTCATATTCTTACAACACTACCTCGACACAACTTACGAGTTTAATTTCCTGAATAACATACATGTAGTTCAGCAGCCTCACTTCATACATCTTGAGATAACTACTAGATAAGGTAGATTTTCTTTTAAAAAGTAGAATTTGTAATATAACACTACCTAGTATTGTAGACAGCTCTCGTTGATATAATGCATGCTATGCGTATAATGGAATGGCGTATCTGGTGAAATAATAGCGGCTCACAACACGCAGAGCATTAACAAACAGCTCACATAAAGTATTCGCGCGCTGACAGAACGTGTTCGTATCTAAAAACTCATTTTGTAACTGTCGGCCTTAAAGGGAAGCCGAGACACCTCACACTCACACAGCCCCCCGACACCAGTCCCCCCCCCCTTCATGCACCCCTCCGCCGCAGGACGTTCACAAATAAAAGAGAAGCTTTCAATTAATTGTTCAGATAAAAAGGTTCTCTTGATAAATAACTTTAGCTTCGAAATAACTTCAAGTTGTGAAGTGACTGCTCGCTGATGGATGTGAACAATTAGGCAATGTTCCTAAATCAGGATTGATAAGACGCTCATTGGAAATTAAATTAGAGAAATGAGTGACATTGATATTATGACTATTAATCTTTCTTAAGGGTTGAAGAACACGACTTGCGTATACAGTTATAAACGGGGTTTTAAATCCTAAACCTTTTATCAGTCATGACATAAAGTATATCATACATAGATTGCATAAAAAATTATACTTCTTCAGTTAGGGTAACTTTAGTTCTGTCCCGTTGAGGCTGTGTATGCAGTGGGTCCATACACTCCTGTGACATTATACATATTTAATGAGCTAAGCATTCCCCATTACAACATATTGTTACAATATTTACTACCTAATACGTATTATAAATAAGGTCAATATTTCTTTTCTTCATAATCCAGAACGGTTGTGTCAATAATTTGTATCGCAACACAAGAGAAGAATAGATTTCCTTTCTTTTGAACCTTTTCTAAGTTATCAGTACACCGTATGTGTTGAATCAACGGCAGCTGGAGGACTGATATAATTGTTTGAGCCCGGCCTAGCCTTACAAGTTACCGGAGCGTGATATTTGTTAGCACCCGGTATACATGAAGAGACGAGCCTTATTTGCTGCTACATATGAAATTGAAAGGTTGAGTACATGGAAAAGCGGCTCATATAAATGCAACGCGTGGGAGAAGGTGCCTAAAAGGACTAGTACTATAAAGTACTGTGCGATGAACTTCTTAATATTACAAAGCAAGTTGAGGAAATAGTTCACAAAGCGTACCATCGTATTACGAGCACTCGTCTCCTTAAGTTTCCTTAAGTCTTGTTCCAAACAGTTTACAATGCTACAGGAAAGTTGCGCGGCGTCAACGACGTATGAACACTAAAGAAACTTACATTTCTTTACATTTTTATAATAACTACTATGAGACATACTGAATTAAGTAAAAATACATCACGTTACTCACGTAAACATACTGAGAGAAGTTCTACTAGTTTCGAGTCGTAGTTTTAGAGTCCCAGCAGACACCGCGACGTCGCGTCGCCGCCGCGACCGCAAACGCTGCGTAAAGAAGAATCCTCCTGTGACTCGAAACTAACTTAGACCTTCTTTCAATATAATATGTACGTAGTAAATCGTTATTTATTTTTTGGTTACATTTCATTACAGTACAACTTGCCTGTAATTCACTGTTTCCATAGCAGGAAGGAAAAAAGATACAGGGTCAGTTATCACATAACTCATAATTACCACTCAAAAGATTTATCGATTAAGGAAACTCAAGCAATGCCCATAAATAACGAAATAGTTACCTGGGAACTAGCTATGTGATAAATATTAATGATGAAATTAATAGTTCACTGAAGAACTAGCTACACGTTAGGCTTTGGAACAATAACCAGTGACCTAGCTAGCAGATATGAAATGTCATTTATCATCTTCATCATCAGCCTGTTTCCGTTAGTTGAATATAGGCCTATGCGAAAACCATACACTTTTTTTTTAAAGGGGTAATCATCCAATGACTTCTCCCGCCTTGGGTTAGGTGAGTGGGAGTGTCAGACTCTTACTGACTATAGAATACCCCGTTCCTACTCCTGCCCTTCGAGCCGGAACCTCGGTATCAGCAGTAGAGCATCAGCCCTACTAGGCCCCATTTATGGAGGTTTGATGGCTTTTTGAGGCGCGCGCGGATTTCGCCGCTCCGTACGCACAGGTCTGGTTCTAGTCGGGCAGCGAGCTACTCTTTCTCGCCGTTTTACAGCTATTTGTATTTAGGTAAATGATCATGATTCATATTTATTTATCTTTATTGAGGAAATAATTCTGCCTAACGATACAAGAAATAGTTAAATAATAAATACTCATAATACAGGATGGCATTGGTAACAAGAGTTACATATTTTTATAGGTTAATTCTTGTGTTAATTAAAAAAATCTTCACCGAAGTATCTGTTTTCATCGGTTAGCTATGAGCACTATCATTCAGTAAATAACGGCAGAGTTATTGTTATATTGATGTATATAATCGTAACAACACTAGGTATGGTTTATTTATAGTTGACTCGTGTTGACCCTGCGTGTCACCTTGATGCCATCCTTTTTGTATTTCTTGTATAAGTATTGCATCCTGTTTTTATGATTTGATTATAAAGTTCAACTTTTTTATTTCTTGATGCACAGCTGCCACGGAAAAACTCTCAGTGTGGTCCACGAATAAAGATTTGTCTGCCATTGTATAAACATTTGTACAAAAAGTGTTAAAATAAATAAATAAATAGTTTTGGGATTTTTTTACTGCTGGAAGAGTCACAATTAGCAATGTACTTGCTGCCCGCTTTGATTGTGGCAAGTAATGACGCTGTTGGCGACGTGACCTGTGTCTTCATGGTGAAATTATATTATTTGTATACCATACAAATCATACATCAGACGGTGTACAGACAATAGGCTATCATTACTTGATTAATGAACATACACTCATCGGAAGCCTGATTAATATTTTTGATAGGAGATACCTGTGGTCAGAGGTCAGGGTTAAATCAGCTAAAAAATAACATATGATCAAGTTCCTATAATCTGTTACTTGATAGAATTGTTTTCTTTTGTAAATTAATAAGTTAGGAGAAGACACAATCCACTCACCCAAATGGACAAATAGTCATTAATAATTTATTTATCGTGGACAAGTTTTATGTCCAATAAGTGCAGTAGACTACCACCATCAATCGTCGTCCGCGACACCTTAGTACTGATATTAAATGTATTTGAAATTCTAACTTTACCGTAAATATTTAAGAGAGCAGAGTAAATGTATTTATCTAAAGAGTTCCGTAATGCAAGGTAATCTCTTAGTTCTGTCTCTAGGAGCCAAGAAGTATAGCAGCATATAACTCAGTCTGACTGTCCCACAAGTTCAACTTATGCTCGCATCTATCTTAGTGTCAGCTTACTATGCGAGTGTCCGCTGGAATTTCAGATACTTCTACAAGTCTTGACGATAATATATTAACTTAGTATTTGTACCAAAATTATCTGAGGCACGTTCTTTAACAAATTAGATTTGAAATTAACATTAAGTTACGCTATTTACACAGCTATA